CAGCATCACAAATATCCTCATCAAAGAGAGGCAGCAAACTGCATCCTCATGTCTTCTGCATCCTGCCCCTTTGGCATTTCCCCCATCCAGCAAGTCAAGCAGGGGCAGCTTCACTGGGGTGAGCAGGCAGGTTTCATAGGCTGGGTCAGCCTGAGAGGTCTGTGTCATGAGGTGCAGAACACATGCCATTGCCATTGGCTAAGACTGAGTCAACTTGGTTTGGCAAGGGCAGGTGACAAAAACTAAGGGGCTGAGCTGATTTACTGCTTTTGAGGATTTTGGTACTGGTTTTGCTGGGTGTATGCACTGCTGACTGGTCTGTGGCGAGTTGGGCATTGCACGAGTGCTTTGCTGGATGAATTAAAAGGAATCTGCTCAGAATAGAGTACATCATCAGGGAAAAAAACAGAGCACTCAGCTATCAAATGCCTTTGACATAGGTGACCATGGCTGTTTTCTCAAATTTGGTCTCCCCTTAGTTTCTGAGACTGTCCTCTCCTGCCTCCCAGCTTTCTGATCATTAATGCTACAAGTCCTGTGCAGGTTTCCTTCTATCCATGGGGTTCTCCACAGGGTTCTGCTGTATTTTTTATTCCTGCTTCAACATTTTCTCCTCGGTTAATCTTGTTTGTAAGAACAATCTTGGCAGTTCCTTCCCCATCAATGCGTCAGAGCGCTCTCAGCTCCAGACTTTTATCCCGATATCCATATTACAGTCCCAAGTTGTTCACCATTTCCTAACAACTCTCCCCGGATTAAGCCTGTGTTCCTACAAAGCTCTTTCCAGCTGTGGAGAACACTCCCGTCTTGTCTCTGGAGCATGACCAATGGCTTCCCTTTTGCCCCTTAACCTCTCTTCAGGGCTTTACGACTAGGCTATGTCTACACCTTGTTGATACTTTCTGACTGGCCTCTCTTGAGAAGCACAGCCTTTCTTATCCATCCCCAGAAGTAAAATTTGCCCCTGAATTTGTCCTTATCTTCTCAGGACCTGTACCATGCAGTGTTGCCATCCTCAGACCCATTCAGGACCCTGGCACATAGCCTTTGCTGAGGTCTCTGTGCCAACTGCACCAGCTCCATATTAACCACACCAACATCTCTGTGAATTCCCCCTTCAACATGCACTCTCTCAATTCGGACTACATTTTTCTTTCAAGGACCTTCTCAGCCATGTTGTATCCACCAGGGATATGTCTGTCCTCATTTCCAGTATGTCACAGTGCCATGCCCTGTTTCCCATTGGTTAGGTTTTTCACAGTCATCTCCATGTTCTTTCCTTGGTTGCCCTTGCAATTGGGAAAAACTGCCCATAAACATAAAACAAGCTTCCTCATGTCCCTTTCTCCAGGTCCTCTTGTGCTGCTCTGCTTTGCTGAGCTGCCAGCTGTGCTGATAAGTATTGACCCCATGCTCCCTTGTCTTGCTCACTTCCCTTGTTTCAGGCTGTAAGCTCCTTGGGGAATACACTACCTTTAGTTACATGTTTTTACAGTCCTTCAGTACAGTGGATACAGTGGAGCCCAGGTCTAGGAACACAGCAACACAAGTAACAAACCCTCTGCCCTTCCCCATAGTTCATTTTGAACGAAGCTGCTCTACTCAGTTCTTGCTTGGAGATTTTAGAGCTAAATCTCTTTTTCTAATTATAGTTCTATATAGAGAAGGACAGTGTCCTTTACTAGAATAAGTAATGACCTGATTTCTATATGTGCTGCTCACAGGGGAAAGCACAAAGCCACTCCTGCTATATTCCTACATTATCTTGTAGGAAGACTCCTGTCTAATCCTTGGCAAGTCTTACAGAAAACCTGCACTGCTGCAAACTAAGGAAAACAATGAATAATTCATTTTCTTATCTGTTTCAGGATTGTTTTCTGCAAAACATCTATTTTAATAATTCATGTGATTTTTAGCTGCACCATGCTGCAGGTGCAAGTGTACAGAGGAGAGCCATACTGTTTTTCTCAGTCTAGCCTAGAGGATTCATTAGTGCAAAATTCCAGATCGCATTGGACCAAATTCTAAGTGAGGAGTGAGAGGTGAAAATCAGGGTAGTTAGCAAGATTCAAAGCAGAACAGTTCTCTGAAAATCAGATTATGAAAGTCATTCACAGAGGAGTATTCCTATGATGCCAAAACGGTCATATGTTGACAATGTCAAGATTGTCAAGAGCCAGCTAGGGGACAGAGGGAAGTATATACTGAGTTCCCCTATTTCCCAACAGTACTTGCCATACACATGAACTTAGCATTTATAGAATTGCACACAGTTACTCTTTCAGGCTGTAACCGATTTCTACCTCAGTCAAATTCATCCAAGCAGCAGAGCTGCAGATTGAGGTTTCCTCTGGAGCTCGTGCAGGAATGACTCCAATCTGCAAGACCCCACCAATGGATAACCCTGCAATGCTGGTCGCCCCTGTGGAAGGGTCAAAAACCTCAGGTCACTTTATGACAAAAGTGGACAGGTCAGAAAATGAAATGTTAAAAGCTAACCACAGCCCATGAAGGGCAGGATTAAGAAGATAATGATGATACTAGCTGCGTAAAGGAAACCAAAGTGTGCATGGTGCTACCAGTGATTCTTTGGGTCAGTAGCAGCAGATCTGGGTTCATTAACCCGAGCATCAGCACTCTGTTCACATACATCCTGCTCCACCTAACAGCACTTATTTCAACTGGGAACATGCTGAAAATTCTCTGCTTGCAGCAAAGTGCTTCAGCCAGCACTGCTAAGCCATCACCACCTGGCTGTGCCCCACAGGGCACACAGCAGGTACAGGTGCTTTTAAAGATTGCTCTTGCATTAACAAGGACAATGGATTAATCTCCTTTACCCTCTATAGGACAGGAAATTTTCCACTCCAGCTTCAGTGCTGCTCCAGGAAACAGCCAGGAGATACAATTCTCCAAGACAAACTGCATAGATAAGACAGACTTTGTTTGTGTCCAAAAATAGTACATAGAAATACCACCATCACCAGCATTTGAAAAAGTACCTTCCAAAAGAGCCAGTAAGAACCTCAGCAAAAATAATTCTCCCTTCCCGAGAGGAATAAAAGTTATAAGCCAAGAAGTGACAGGAAGCTGGAGCAGCACTCACTCTCCTCCCAGCTGTAATCAAAACCCCAAGCACAGATCCTGCCAGTGCTCACAGCCCCAGCTCTACAGATGCTGGCAGAGCACCGAGGTTACTGAAGACAAATCTGTACCCACCTGTGCTGTTGAAGGAGCCCTGGCAACAATTCAAATTCACGTTAGCTGGAATAAGGAAGTGCTGTGCTATGGGAGGTGGCTAAATCTAACATTGAGAAATACAGGCCACCCTTGTATAATTTTTGCATACAAAATTAAAGACCCATAACACTACGTGGCCCTTTTTTCCAGCTTTAAGCAGACCAGGGTAAACGTTTCTGCATTTTAAATCACATACAACCTGCCAATATCATGTTTTCATCAACTATATTTTCATCTGCCTACCCAAAGCAAGACATATTCTGTATAGCACCACACTATCTTGTATTTGATAAAGTACATTAGCAGCTTAGACTTACAAGATGGCTGTGCCTTTTTAAAACACCTGGGTTGCATGGTGCTCCAATGTAAATTATTTGCCTGAGAAAAATACCTGTTAAAAAAACAAAGGTGCCAAAGAGCTTTACAGGCTGGGCAGGCAGCACTTGCTGCCCACACTGCCTGTGCCACGCAGGGCTAGGGGTGATGTTTTCCCAACAGCAGGTATACAGCCTCACGGCTTTTTTTTTTTTTTTTTTTTCCTGTTTCTTTCATTTTCTCCACCCTAGGGAAAGCAGCATCCAGTTTCTCACAGGTCAGTTTGGAGATGCATCAGTGATAGTGTAAATTCTAATTTTTTAAAGAAAAATTTAAGTTTGCATCATGGTAAGAGGCCATTCCTGTGGAGGAGGGAAGGCAGTGCCAGACAGGCATCCTCCCTCAGCAGCGCACAGCCAGTTTGGCAGTCACCAGGGTCATCCTCTGCCCCAGGTTTGACAAGGATTTTGAGAGCAAGGACACCACAGGCCAAAGCTGAAGCATAAGAGAGCAAGATGGTAAGATTGGTAGGCACCAGCATGCAGGGGCTCCACAGGAGGAGGAATTTCACACTTAGCTTCATTAAATCCATCTCCCTGCAAGACAGGAAAAACAATCACCCAAAGCAGCTAGATTATGGTGATACAATCTGACACTCAGCCAGATGACATTTTCCAATTTCATTTGAAGGTGACACCTTGAAACAAGGCACAACAACTGAGAGGATCACACCAATAAGAAGGTAGCAGGGACCTTCATGCCTCCCTCCCCCCCAACTCCATGAACTCCAGTGCAGGGTATTAAAAATAAACCAGCATAGCCTAACAAATTGCAGAAGGTATTTAAGTCAGAGTGGGCCAGGGAAAGAGAGTGAGAGTCTAAGATTTGGACCAATAAAAACTGTTACTAGAAACTTATTTTAGAAACTTCAAGAGTGACACAAAGAAATCCTCAGTATCTGATGATTGTAAATAACCACTTTCCCAAATCAATAGGAGTAAGTTAAACATGCACAGTTTTTATTCCTTGTATTTTCATGCAAAATATGCAATAGTTAGTATTTCCAGTTCCATATTTCTAAATTCATTGGAGAAGACCAATTATCATAACACCCATAGAGTTTTGCTGATTAACTGCAATGAGGGTAAGTTTCCAGCCCTGCACAGATATCCTGATCCGTATCTTACATTTTAGCAAAGAAATGAGAGGGCTTAAACCCAAGGAGGAGTTTCCCAAGAACTTTTACCACTCCCATTGCTTTATTTTTCACTTAAAGTAAAAAGTGGCCCAAGCTGTAACCACAAATGGTATAGAGAACCCGATCTGAGGATATTCGGATCACTCTTCAGACTAGGGAAATACCACAAAAACATCCCCTTTTACCTGATCTGTTAAATAGCTTTCATTTGTATTACTACGTATCTCCAAAATAAAACCCACAGTGCTTCAGTGTAGAATGACATATAATTTATTCATATAATTCACAAGTAGTTGGACACTACTCAATTTAATCTCCATATGCAAGTGATTTACACAAACATATAATACTAAAATTGATTGCTTAGAAGGTAAAAAAATACCATGGGTATGAAATGCCATGGTAGATGCTGTTCAATATACTACACAATCTTAGTGTCAGACACTTTTACCCATTTATGTTTTTAGAAAAAGGCAGTTTGCCATTTTTAATTTTTTTTATAAGTAGTCTGGGAAACTCAAGTGGTCTTGCTCTAAACCTTCTAATCAATTATTTCTCCCAGTTCTTAGGAACTGAATTGACAACCAACACAACATTTTCAGTAGTTCAAAAAAAATATATAGATTTTTGCTCCCCTGAATTCACCAAGCACAATGTGACCAAATCACGTTGCCTTCCAACATGCGACATAAAATACTAACCCCTGTATATTCCAAGGAATGTGCAGGAATTTAGACCATGCTTCAGCATGGGGGTGGTGGTGACAGCCTGATGATATAATTTTTGGTCCCTGCCAGTATCCAGCAGTTGTGAGTGTGTTTGCAGTTCACTGTGAATGTATTAGCATCACCAGACCATTTGGTATTCATGCAGCTGTGGAGTCTGATTATAATTCTGCATAAACTCTTCTCACTGAAACTTGTATCTCATAAGCCTCACTAATTCTGCATTAAGCATATAATGGCTGCATGGAGAAAATTGGACTTTAATGTGTGTGCCTGCACCAGATTAAATTACACACATTATTTTCTAGACGAGGTCCAAACATATATTTTGCTTGAAATGCCAGTAGTTACCTTAAAACATACCAAGAAGTTAAAAAGCTTTCACAATACAAGATCCAGCTACTTATTCCACATATACAAAAAACACAGCTAGAGAAATACAATTCAATTGTCAATGCTGAATTATGAGGAAGTCTAAAAAAATAGAAAAACTCTGATACATGGACATCATTTCAGAATGTAACATTGCATAATGCAGCAATATGAGCACCCATTTAAAATGAGAAATCCCCCAAAAGAGAAGCATAAGGGGATCTAGTACCTGTGACAAAAATAGATGAATACTGCACCAAAAACATGCATACAATCGGCACGGTCATTCAGTATGCTAGTGATGGTCTAAACAGTGATCTAACACAAGAGTGAGATAGTGTTTCCAAATAAAATCGAGTGAGTAACTACATATTGGTTAAACTTTCTGATGCAGCAAAATGAGGGCACAGAGCCATCTCTGGGTTCTGGAGCTGTTTCAAGAGTCGCTTGTGAAATTTCTCTCTGACACGATTGAACTCCATTATATCCAGTGGATCCTCTTCAATCCAGAATTTGTGGAATTCATGCATTAAGTAGCCTATGAAATAATAAAAAAGGAGAAGTAGAAGAAATAAATACAGTGTGTAAAGATCACATACAAAATTAGAAAGAAACATGCAGTAAACAATTAAGATTTACACAGAGTATCCTGGTCACTGAGGTCTGACACCTCACAACACTATGCAGGGATGAGACTAAACCCGTTTTGGACAAATCCAAAATTTGATGAATAGCATACATTGACAGAAATTCTCACCAAAAAAAACCCCAAGAAGTTACTAGCTGTCTTGACATATGGTTACATGAACTAAAACATTAAACTAAAGAGTATAAAAGCAGGGGAAGATGCTACTGATGCTGTTCCACCAGCCTTTGGTTTATATTCAAGTTCTGCCTCACATATATTTCCTTATGGGAATATTGCTTACTCTCCACTAAAAAAGACCGTACTCATAGGTAATGTAACAGTTACCGTCACATCTTTCTGTATTAACACTTGCTCCTTATGCACAATTCTACCTCATGTGTGCATGAGCTTGCTGGAAATGTTGTGTAACACTTATGCCTATGATCCTGAAAAGATGAATAGTAAGGTGATATACAGAACCACTAGCTTTGGTAAGACATCCCTGTTATAGCAAGAAACTTGATTCCAAAGGGGGTTTAATATACAGGCTCCGATTAAGGCCTCTACCCTCTCAGTTCTGTGCCATCCTTGGACTCAGAGTTTCACTGATAGGAAAAACGTTACATCCAGCACTGGGAATTCAACAAACTGGACCCAATCTCTTGGTCCCAACTACCACAATAGATGAACCATTGAAGAAGTATAATCTTTCATCCCAACACAGCAAAATGTGCAAGTAAGTTTTCTGTATTCCAGAAAGTGAGGGTATTTGTTATAAAAAAGGCTCAATTGCTTGTATCCATTTATTTCCATTGTATGACAATTACAACACACATACTTCTAACTTAAATTTCTAGGTATATTTGCAGGCATATTTCCCCCCCGCCACCATCAATTTGAGAAAGTTCATTCAAAAGGTACTTTAAGTACATCTTCAAATCTTCACCATATATTCCACAGGCCACAGGCTGTTTCATTCCAAGAGATGTTACTTTCAAAAAAAAAAAAAAAGCTCAGTAAAACACCTTTAAAAAAAATCTCTATATAAAATGTAAAACATTGTTAGATCTTCACCCCCCAAAATCTAGATTTCCAAGAGGTACTTTCTGTACTTCAGCAGTGACTGTGTTGAGCATGCCATTGAACAATGCAGTTCCATGCATTGCTTGTACAGCCAGACAAGGCAACAGAGCCCAAGAGCAGTGGGGCAAATGCAATTCTCAGTTTCATGTGTGTCCCTGTAGCCTGAGGGAGCAGAAGTGTGCAGATAAGGTGACATGGTGGATGAGCATTTAGGAGGTCCATGCAGTACAACCATTGTGTTCCTCTACCAGCAAGGCTGCTGGCTGGGCAATGTAATTTTGACTTTCCAGTTCAGTCAGGCAGACCGTAGGCATTTAATGCAACCTAATGATGTCTGGGTTTGAAGGAAATTTGAAGGAAACCTAGGATGTCTGTGGTAGGGAGAAGACAGAGCATAACAGCATAAGAGAGGAGAGAGTGTAAGAGAGCATAAGAGCAGGGATTTGTCAGACTCAAACAGACAATCTCTGGATGAATTGCCCTTGCTCCAAGAAGTTTGTTGATGCTTTCTCTACAATAAAGTCCATTTGATAACCTCAAGCTTTTCCTAGGATGGCAGGCAGAGCATGTAGGAACATCCACCACCTTTACTGGCCTGTTACTACACCAGAGACCCATGCAAGTTTTATCATGCTTCATAACTCATACATGCATGGGCTGTAGATGGAAGAGGTGTCAAAATCAAGTCTCCCTCCAGTGTTATGATGGACTGGCCGTGCTGGTCAGCAGGCATACTGGTCCTGGGGCACTGTCCCAGGCTTAGCCAGCAGAACAGTCCCTCCTGCAGCCAAGACTTTGGCAATGGCAAGACAACACTGTAAACGTACAGAAATATGTCTCTTCCTCCCCCAAATTCAGTGGTGAGGCATTTTAGACATGGCAAGAAACCAGAACCAAGAATAGGATATAGAATCATGGAATCGTTTAGGTTGGAAAAGACCTTTAAGATCATCGAGTCCAACTGTTAACCTAGCACTGCCAAGTCCCACTAAACCATGTCCCCAAGTGCCACATCTACACATTTTTGAAATACCTCCAGGGATGGTGACTCAAGAACTTCCCTGCGCAGCCTGTTCCAATGCTTGACAACCCTTTCAGTGAAGAAATTTTTCCTAGTATCCAATCTAAACCTCCCCTAGTACAACTTGAGGCCATTTCCTCTTGTCCTAGGACTTGTTACTTGGAGAAGAGACCAACTCCCACCTCACTACACCCTCCTTTCAGGTTGTTGTAGAGAGCGATAAGGTCTCCCCTCAGCCTCCTTTTCTCCAGGCTAAACAGCCCCAGTTCCCTCAGCCGCTCCTCATAAGACTTGTGCTCCAGGCCCCTCACCAGCTTCATTGCCCTTCTCTGGGCACGCTCCAGCACCTCCATGTCTTTCCTGTAGTGAGGGGTCCAAAACTGAACACAGTATTCAAGGTACAGCCTCACCAGTGCCGAGTACAGGGGAACAATCACCTCCCTGTTCCTGCTGGCCACACTATTTCTGATACAGGCCAAGATGCCGTTGGCCTTCTTGGCCACCTGGGCACACTGCTGGCTCATACTCAGCTGGCTGTCGACCAACACCCCCAGGTCCTTTTACTCCAGGCAGCTTTCCAGCCACTCTTCCCCAAGCCTGTAGCATTGCACGGGGTTGGTGTGACACAAGTGCAGGACCCACCACTTGGCCTTGTTGAACCTCATACAGCTGGCCTCAGCCCATCGATCCAGCCTGTCCAGATCCCTCTGTGGAACCTTCTTACCCTCAAGCAGACCAACACTCCTGCCCAACTTGGTGTCATCTGCAAACTTACTGAGGGTGCACTTGATCCCCTTGACCAGATCATTGATAAAGATACTAAAACAGAACTGGTCCCAGTACTGAGCCCTGGGGAACACCACTGGTGACTGGCCACCAACTGGATTTAACTCCATTCACCACCACTCTCTGGGCCCGGCCATCCAACCAGTTTTTTACCCAGCAGAGTATACCTGTCCAAGCCATGAGCTGCCATTTTTTTTCCAGGAGAATGCTGCGGGAAACAGTGTCAAAGGCTTTACTAAAGTCCTGGTAGACAACACCCACAGCCTTTTCCTCATCCACTAAGCGGGTCACCTTGTCACAGAAGGAGATCAAGTTGGTCAAGCAGGACCTGCCTTTCATAAACCCTTGCTGACTGGGTTTGATCACCTGGTTGTCCTGTATGTGCGGCATGATGGTACTCAAAACGATGTGCTCCATAACCTTCCCCGGCAGCAAGGTCAGACTGACAGGCCTGTAGTTCCCTGGATCTTCCTTCCAGCCCTTCTTGTAGATGGGCGTCACATTTGCTAAGTTCCAGTCAACTGGGTCTTCCCTGGTTAGCCTGGACTGCTGATAAATGATGTAAAATGACTTGGTGAGCACTTCCACCAGCTCCCTTGGTATCTTTGGGTGGATCTCATCCGGCCCCATAGACTTGTGCGTGTCCAAGTGGTATAGCAGGTCACTTACCATTTCCCCTTGGGTTATGGGGGCTTCATTCTGCTCCCCGTCCCTGTCTTCCAGCTCAGGGGGCTGGGTACCCAAAGAACAACTGTTCTTACTATTAAAGACTGAGGTAAAAAAGGCATTGAGTACCTCAGCCTTTTCCTCATCCTTTGTCACTATGTTTCTCCCTGCATCCAGTAAAAGATGGAGATTCTCCTTAGCCCTCTTTTTGTTGCTAATAAATATTATAAATGTTGCTATAAATATTACAGAAACATATTTTATTGTCTTTTATGGCAGTAGCCAGATTGAGTTCTAGTTGGGCTTCGACCCTTCTAATTTTCTCCTTGCATAAACTCACAACATTCTTGTAGTCCTTGTGAGCTGCCTACCCCTTCTTCCAAAGGTTATAAACTCTCCTTTTTTTCCTGAGTTCCAGCCAAAGTTCTCTGTTCAGCCAGGCTGGTCTTCTTTCCTGCCAGCTTGTCTTTTGGCGCATGGGGACAGCCTGCTCCTGCACCTTTAAGATTTCGTTCTTGAAGAACGTCCAGCCTTCCTGGACTCCTTTGCCCTTTAGGACTGTCTCTCAAGGGTCTCTGTCAGCCAGTCTCCTAAACAGGCCAAAGTCTGCCCTCCAGAAGTCCAAGGTGACAGTTCTGCTAACTCCCCTCCTTACTTCTCTGAGAATTGAAAACTCTATCATTTTGTGATTGCTATGCCCAAGACGGCCTCCAACTATCACATCACCCACAAGTTCTTCATGGTTGTCGCGGTTTAACCCCAGCCAGCAACAAAGCACCATGCAGCCGCTCACTTACTCCCCACCCACCCAGTGGGATGGGGGAGAAAAATCAGGGCAAAAGAAGAAAAACCCGCGGGTTGAGATAAGAATGGTTTAATAGAACAGAAAAGAAGAAACTAATAATGATAATGATAAGACTAATAAAATGACAACAGCAGTAATAAAAGGATTGGAAAGTACAAATGATGCACAGGGCAATTGCTCACCACCCACCGACCGACGCTCAGCCAGTCCCCAAGCGGTGATACCCTGCCCCCCCACTTCCCAGTTCCTAAACTAGATGGGATGTCCCATGGTATGGAATACCCCGTTGGCCAGTTTGGGTCAGGTGCCCTGGCTGTGTCCTGTGCCAGCTTCTTGTGCCCCTCCAGCTTTCTCGCTGGCTGGGCATAAGAAGCTGAAAAATCCTTGACATTAGTCTAAACACTACTTAGCAACTACTGAAAACATCAGTGTTATCAACATTCTTCACATACTGAACTCAAAAACATAGCACCGTACCAGCTACTAGGAAGACAGTTAACTCCATCCCAGCTGAAACTAGGACAATGGTTCACAAAAAACAGGTCCAGCAGGGCACCTTCCCTAGTTGGCTCACTCACCAGCTGTGTCAGGCAGTTATCTGCCACACACTCCAGGAACCTCATAGGCTGGTTCTGCTGTATTGCATTTCCAGCAGAGATCTGGTAAGTTGAAGTCCCCCATGAGAACAAGGGTTAGTGATCATGAAATATGGGAGCCAAACCAATCATACTAGACATAACCGTTCACAAGGCCATGGGCACATCAGGAATGTGGTGAAAAGACAGAGTAACCCTTCCAATGAAAAGATGACCTGAAGATACATAAGTGGATATTTAAGTAAGTACTTGTCTTTTTTTTTTAATCAAGCCAAGCACCACGAAAAGACAAAAGCCTAGCAGCTAAACTGCCCAGAGTTCCTACCAGGTAGCCTATCCAGACCAGCAGCCCAGAAACCATTGCAAAAGGGAGAGCCCTGCTACAGTATGATATCTGCCCACATAAGATTTTGGGTGGATGAGTCTTATTAAATAGCATCCTTGTTCTGAAAAGCCTATACTATTTAATGAGAGAAATGCACGTGACACTAATATTTGTCACTTATCCAGTTGAGCAATAAGAAATTATTATAGCTGCAAACAAAAAAATCTGTTACCTAAATAGCCAGACAAAAAAAAACAACCAACCAACCAAAACAAAACCTTTGCAATTGTCATAAATGTGGAAAACAGTGTGTCTTGACTTCTTGTTATCAGTTTCTTGCCTATACATTGAAAAATATTAGAAGTGTTTCTGCCATGGTGCAAGGATGCATAGCAGGACTGTGCTGTAGAAAGGATGCTTGAATACAGTGGAAAGGGCTGGGAAAGCATTATTTTGAGCGGGGACAACTCTACTGAAGGGTGGAGGGTAACACTTGAATGTAGATGCAAATATCTTAGGACAGTTTGATTTATGGGGAAGCTATCTCCAGAAGCTCTTTAAAGTACTTTTAGTTTCTTATTATTGTTATTTAAAACCAGTCTAAGAAGATAGGAAGGCCACTTGTTCAGGCACTTGGTGGTTTTTTGTTTGGGTTTACTGGGGGTTTGTTTTGTTTTGTTTGTTTTACCCCTTGGTTTGGTAGTGGCATCCATCACAACTGAGAACTGAATCTAAGCATCCTAAAGACAGGATAGCAAGACTAGCATGATAGTCTCTGTGCTGTGTCAGCAGATTTTTTGGTTTGTTTTTAAAAAAAGCATATGGGTAGTACAAAAGTGTTAGCAGGAGTACAAGTTATGTATTTCCCCCACCACTTACAGAACATCTGCTGAAAGTGAGTTAGTGTTGGTGCTTCTGGAGCAACATTGTAGAAATGGGTCTTCAGAGCTCCACTCACAAGCAGGTTGTATGCGAGGTCTGTTATGTTAATGCCCACAATAGCAAAAGAATAGCTGTAAGAAAAAAAAAAAAAGCAGCAACATTTGTTGAGAGTTTGTCTTCTTTCAGCACACTCTAAGAAACACTGATGACACTGACACTGCAGGTTTTGTGTGCCACTGAGGTGTATTAATTCACTCCTTCGTGAGCTTCCAAAGCAGGGGGATGGAAAACAAGAAAAACATTTATCCTGCCTGCTTTGTACACTCTAGTGGCAGTGTTTCCCTTGTGAAACATATGGTCACAGTAAAAACAGGAGTTTCATCACTGTGACAGCATTTTCAGTGGAGCAGCACAGATTCATTTCTACAGAATAAGAACAAGCCCAGGCATCCCTGTGCTCCTGCGCCCGCCTCTGACACAGGGCAAGCACTCCACACGGTGGCTGTGTCTGCAGGGTGACCCATCATTTGCTATTTTAACCCACCTACCCCACTGGAATTTATTACCCACAGTAAGGAACATCAGGTTTCAACAATCAGTCCTATAAAGACATTCATATGGCTTAAAAGCCTCTGAAAAAGATCCAGCTGAGTCACCTTCAATTTCTTCCTAACAGAACTAGATACACAGGCCAGAAAACAGGTAAAAAACCTAAATCAGAGCATGCTGGAAACAGAAATAAGAAAATCAGATCCATGAAGCAAACTCCTGTCCTGCTAAGGAATATAGACAAGGGAAGTATATTTAGGCACAACAGAACTCAGAAATTGGAAGTTATTTCTTAATTTGTGAGCCTGTTGAATAAAGAACTTGACATTTCTGGCACTCACTATTTCCTAAGAAAACATATAATATCCCACACTGACATTTAGTGATAAAAGCAAACTTGTTTAGTTATTCAGTGATCCCCCCCACCCCCTTTAAAACACAGCTGTCTTGTAGAATGTCTTGGGTATTTTTTCCAACTATATCAAGTTAAAGAAAAGGAAAGTATTTTGGTTTGCTTTTGATAATATTTCAGGAGAAAAAAATAATAAATAATAGTTCAGAAGTTAACTGCAACATGAGGCCTAATGGTAAGTTTCACAGAAAAATGAAATATGGGCATTAAAATGTTGTATTACAGATTTTCAGATATACTCAGAAGGAACATCCAGTTCCATACTCATGAATAATGCAGCTATACCAAACTCACTACTTAAGGAGAAAAAGCCTCACTACTATTTCTTCCCTATTATACTTTCCTGAAAGCAGATCAGAACCTGGCTCTGACAGTAGGAAGTGAGACTTGATCACATTATGTGTTAAGAAGAATTCAACAGCTATTCATCACTGCACTATTCATAGCATACAGAGAAAGCTTCTCCTTGCTACATTTTTGTGTTATTTTTCCTAATCCTTACTTTAAACTGTTTTTCCTATAATCTTTGATCAAAACCAAGGTGTGGTTAAGACAACACATGTTAGTATGTACACTGAAATTTCATTTAAAAAGTAACCAGGAAACACCTTTTTCCCCTCAAATATACAGCATCATTGTTAACTGTTGTGTTTGTGGCAACCTTAAAAAGATTTTTAAACTTACCCGATTGCCTTATCAAGCTTTTTCTTCTCCCATTCGGCTTTGCTGAATTGGCTGAAGGGGGAAAAAAAAAAAAATTAAAATCCAGATGTTGCTATGAATTACTAACTGACAAGTATTTTCTTTCAATTGCTTTGATATGATAACCTTGACTGAACATGGTATTTTACCTCCATCGATATGGCTAGTCACATTTAACTCCGCTTCTGACTGAATGGTTTGGCACAAAAAGGCTTGAAATGGGTAACTGGCTTTATAGCATTGCTGATAAACTTCTCATCATTACAAAGTATGCTCCTACATCAATGCTCTCAGTAAAAACCAGTTATTTTCTGTATTGGCCACAAAGATGTTCCACTTCAATTAAGTCTGAGCCATACAAAAATTGGAAATATTACATTTCTTTTAACTAATCAAAGATGGGCTTAGCCTTTTGTGTTTTCAAAGATATACATGACACTCATCACTGGAGGCATGATTCACCTGAGGCAGCAAACATGAAAAATACTCCTCTGATAGAAAGTTTTTATATCCAGACAAATTAGAAACCACTCAACAGCCAAAAATAAGGAACAGTGTTTCCTATTATTTGGCACAATAATGCAGAGCTTTTTAAGGACACAAAAGGTCCCTCCCTTAAAACAAAATTCATTAGGGAACAGATTGATTTTAGACTAAGTTTGTGCTGTTTAACAACATTTTCATTTAAAAGAGCTGTGTGATGCAACCGGTCAGCTGGTCCCACTAACCAGGTTTTAATCTACCCAAATGGAGCAAGTTTAGCAGAAATCATTGCCTACATTTATCAGTAGCTAAAAGCAGGCACAGAACCTACCCCAACCAGCAGACTACAACTTAGACATGCCTGTGGGAGTTTTTGCCTTGGTAAGGCAGATCAGAGTTTGCAAGCTTTAGAAACCAAATTATGGACAGCTATGTGTGAAAGCATTGTTCTTGGACTATACTTGAACTACAAGAAGTATATATTACATTAAAAACAATCCCCTGAGCTTCATGTAAATATAGTATTTAAAAATTGTTGCCATTAAGTATTTAAGATGCTAATCGGCTCATACCCATCCTGACCTGAGTGTTACCAGGTGGCATGCATGAGGACAAAACTTTACCTCCTAAGTGGCTTAACATACAGGAATACATCAGTCTTCACCCATTCTCTAAAATCTCAACCATCTTTGTAGGCTGTGGCATAACATCAGTTTAAAAACCCCAAGCAAACAGTGAATAACAAAGGTGGCACATGTAGTATGTGGACAAGCAATACAGTTCAACAGAAACAGAAATTACATTGATCATGATCACAGTAGAAACCAGCATGACTGCTAAACAACCACATCAGGAAGAACACCATAAGCACCACCAACAGCATCCATCTTCTACTGAACGGTCTTTCAAGGGATAGAAAGTGCACATGCTCACACAGCGCTTCAAGATGGTCCTTGGTAATCAAACATGTAAATGAAGAACACTAATGTGTTCTAAGTGCATTTTGTCACAGAATTACCATTGGGAACTCAACCACAAAATACTGAGGAGATCAAAAGCTTCACAGGATGCAGATGTGGATCTGCTATATGGATATCTAGCATTACTGGCAGAAGAAAAAGGTCTTTTAAGGCAACTGATTACTATCTAACTGGCTAAAAGCACGCCCGCCCCCCCCCCCCCAATTGTTGACTAAATCTCCTAATCACAAATCATGCACAACACAAAATTTTTGCCACTTGAAGGTACCTGATCTCTCAACAGTCAGGACAATGGACTAGCCAGATTAGACCCATCATTAGTCAAGGTGGACAGAGTATGCGACTATAAGTAAAGGGGCTCTTCAGCTGTGCTAACAAATCCTTGGCCTAGACTACTTTTTATTATCAAGTCAGTTACAGCTGTTGTGACCATAGTGGCACTGCTTAGACCTTTTTCCTTCAGGTAAAAGTCACTCAAAATTTGTTTTTTAAGCCTGGTACTAAATAGGTCTAAAATACTGTGTTTTAACTATATTAAGCAAGGTTGATCTCATTCTTTATATATAAGCATGCTCAGACGTACCCAGTGTTGCACCATCAGCTATGTTTGAGTTAACTTTAGAGAAAGGAATATAGAACTCTTGGTGTTGCAACAAAGATTTTCAGTTTATAACACGCCAAATTACAGTACGGTTTGATCTTTATTTACAAGTAGGGTCTCATAAAACTAAGAGAAAAGAAAAAAAAATACCTTGGTTCCTTCTTAGTGACTTCCCTTCATTATGAAAAGACAAAAGAATTAAAAGAAAGGTAAATAAAAATGCAAAATCACTTGAAATTAAAAGTATCAGTGAAAACATTTAACACTAAGTTTAACTATTTCTAAGATTCAGTATACAAGTTTGCCTCTTGATCAGTTTTTCAGGATCAGTACTTGAAAACAGATAGCATGTGGCAATACCCAAGCATGTGCCCAACAAAAAGAAAACAAAAACAAAACCAAAAAAACAGCCCCCTCCCCCAAACACCAGCCAGCACAGTGCTCTCAAGTTATTTTTTCTGATCTCAAGCATTACCTGTATTTAGGCTGAAGAGAATCAGAGAGAACTTGCTGAGCTATCTCAGTGTCCCATTCGGCAAAATACCTGCAGACATATAAGTTTAGGGTGAATTGTTAAAGAAACACAACAACAAAAAGAATCTTAAAGCATACTAAGGTGCCCATACACACCCTTTTAAAGGTCACTACATGTGCTATGCAATAAGTAGTATTTAACATGTTAAATTCATTAAACTGCTACTTAGACCCCCAACATGAAAGTTAAAAGCAGCCTCAAATTACAAGTGCAATCCTATAAGCACTTAGTGAACCTGAATTACCAGAGTCCCCTTTCTACCCACCCTACAGAAAGTCAGTTGCTTATTACTAGAGCATGTTGGCTGCTGAGCTCAAGAGAAAGCACTTCAGGCTTCTTGGTCTGGCAGATTCATTAAGCAAGATGAGAGTCATCACAGGAGACTAAGAAACGAAATACATGATAAGATTCATCTCCAACGGAAGTTCAAAGCCAGAGTCAAGAGTCCAGATCCTCAACTGAGCTTTGATAGAGAACGACATATGGACAGTGGATGATTCATGTCCTTCAATCTGTAAAAGCAGAAAATTTTTCTTTTTCCCCTCACAGGGAGAGGTTATTTTACCAAATGTTTCTGAGTTATGTAACTATCTGCAGTAGATACAAGGGCTGGAGGAAATAACAAGCATTGATCAGTTTCCAAATTACCAGACAGATATGGTACCAACACCTGGTATGCATGAGGCGGAAGGGAAAAGTGATATAAACTCACTGCTTAATTTTGAGTATCACCAGAAATTGAAGTAGTCGTCCAACTACAGAAGTCTGCCATCAGTGGCTGCATTTCAAGTATTTTGCCTAAGAATTCAGCATGAAATTCCCAAACACAAAAGCTGAGCAGTAACACAACCCTCTCACCTGCCCACTTCCAGGTCATTTTGTTTGAGGCGAAAATAGACATTGGCGAAAATATACTTTTCAGTTTCTTTCTTGTAGGAAGAGAGTGCTAACTTACTGTGTCACAGAGGAACTAAAAGAAGGGCTTAGTAAACAGTATTACTGAGTTGAATTAGGAATACTGAACGAAAGGAGACCCCTTCGAGAAAGGAAACCCTTAAAAAACTGGGCTAGGACACGAATTATTTCATTTTTTTATATGAAGTCCCTAGCACTTTTATAAGTTATTCCCACAGACTTGCAAAAAATCTGCAAGTAATGCTGCTTTTCATGACTTCATACACACATAAACCCATCCACAGAGGAACATACTTACACCAAGTTATATAAGCCCAGGAGACCCATTCCTCTAAAGTCTGTTTTAGGATCGTCACCTTGGAAACCAATTTCACACCACTGCTTTGAAATCCGAGCTTTCAGTGGCGAATTGGGCTTCAAGCATTTCCACAACTAGGAAGATTACAGGTAAAACATAATTAAACTTCCACACATTAGTATGGCTTTTTCTTCTTTTTAAACCAAGCTAAGTTCCAATGTAACATCACAGCATTGCTATCCCAGCAACCCAAACATAAAATCAAATTAAATTCCTGGGGGGTAAAGAGGATGTGGGGGGAAAATCCCAAACCACTCTTAAGTATTGCAGATGGTTCAGCCCTGCAAGGCCCTTCCAACCTTATCGGCAGCCACTGTAACGTCTCACACAAGGACTTAGTTTGATGCACAAAGCACAAACAAAACAGCATCTGTGTCCCTAAGCGCAGAGAGAGGAATGGCCTGGAATTTGGTTGTAAATCACTGACAGAGCAGCAGGCAATCAGCCCTCAGGTCCCTGAGGCTCTGCAGCAATCTTTCCTCAGGCATCTTTTGCAAGTCTCTGGAAGGGTTATAAATCAAAAGTGCTGACTTGGCTACCACAGTGCTGAAAAGCAAATCAGAGAACATAAAAAAAAATCCATACAAGAATAGCATGTGCCACCTCCATATTTAACTGAGGGGTGAATCATTCATTGATCTCACATAAAGAAAAAGGACAAAGTGATTTAACAAGCCAGATCCTCATCTGGAATAAATCCACTTAGCCACATTGGTCCAGCAACGTTAATGCCTAAATATATTGCTAGGCACCTAAAAGCAGCCTAAATTAACATGTCTGACAAATACATACCTTTCTGCACATCTTGTGCCATATCACAAACTCACCCTTTCTAAAGTGTATTAAAAGATCATAAACCATGAGTTGGTAAGTAGGGCCTCAAGAAATGCACTTAGACAAAGCCTGTCTAAGGGAAAGAGCTGTATGCACATTTCCCAAATAGAAAACCCAGAAATTGTATTAATTTTAGCTATTCTAATTACATTTAAAATGAAGTGCCTTAGGAAGCTTAAAACTTTAATGATTTCACTTTGTAATGACTACATAAGCATCACTGTTTAAGTCATACTTGCTGTCTTTCTTGTTCATCCATCAACAGTAAATACAGTATTATTCATTAGTTCATTCACATTAAGTTAATCTTTCATTCATAAAGTGCCCTCCTGGTAAACATGAATAAATGATAGACATTAGGAACTTCAATTACCCACTGCAGAGATCACTTAGCAGAATATCTAGAAGGACTGAAAACCAACTGGCCTATTCTTTCCCAGCTTGGGTTGGAAACCAAATTAAACCCTTGGACATATTTCCATTTGACATGAAAATTTGCAAAAGCAAAATGCCTACTGTAAACAAGTGCTAATACACAGGTTATACTGGAGGCAGATGGTGAAACTGATACTTTGTTCAACATTACAAATTTTAAAGCCTAAGCTGCACTGTTTTGTCTCCCCTCAGACAAATGCTCAGTTTTTATTCTGCTTTTATTCTTATGCAGTTATGTTTTTAAACCACTTATGTGGCTACACGTCATTGCTGACATGATTCTCAGGAGTGTCTAAGAACCAGGACCTTGCCCTCACAGGCTGGGTGGCCAGGAAGGAGACCACAGCCAGCTCCTTGGTGCTTCTCACCTGTGATTGCATCCTCAGACCCAACTTCTTGCTCTCCGGGCAGTGTAGATGCCCAGTGTACTTAGGAATACTTTCCTGGAGCCAAAGGCCCTCATTAAACCTGCAGCCAGCTACCTGGTATTTTCAGGGACCAACATTGTAGGCTGGCACCTGGATCTCCCACCTGCAAGACATAGGCTTCCTCACTGGGTAAAGCTGATGTGTACTTTTAGTTAAAGCATACTCCACCCCCAGAAATTTGGGTGTTTGGCTGCATAGGGGCAGGACCTGAACAGGAGGAATCTATCTACCCTGTCCTACCTAGTGGCTAGAGCACTCCTTCAGGGGCAGCTCTGGATTTTGACTTCCTCTCAAGAGTCCCACTGCACAGCAAGGAGCCAACCTTAAAGACAGCTTTTCAGACACCTACAGGAACTCTTTGACCATTTGAAGCATTTTTTAGAAATAGTTATTTGCATCCATAAGTGCTTATACAAGATGCCTACCGGGATTTTTAGAAGTACCTGGAAGCCCAAGTAACTATAGCAAAGTTTCCAGAAGCTCCCACTGTAGCCTGTGTAAAGCACTACACTGCAGGCTAGAGTGTAGAAGACAGCTTCATCTTTACATGCTGTAAAAATCCAGTCAACGTCGGATGGGGGCAGAAGCACAGGTAGTGTTTAAGTTTTCAATATTTTTGTTTAAAATAATTTTAAAACCCCCAAACAGGTGGTATGTTTTTATAACACCTCTGAAAACTCTAAGAATGCATTGTGCTTGTAGATAAACTCATTATCACAATTCTGTGTTTCTTGCCATTTCTCTGAAGTATCTTGCACTAGCTACAGTCACAAACAGGATCAGAAGAAATACTAGGACTTGCTATTAGGCTATTTTCTACCCCCTTTATTCTCTCCTCAATTCCTTTCTAAGAGCTCTCTAGCTCTCTCTCTCCTTATGGCTTCAAGATCATCTTCCTGAAAAAACACTTTTATTATCTGCCCCAGTGCAAGGCTTTCCTGAAAGCATGAAGTAAGTAAAACCCAATTGGTATGGTTTTCATCACTCTATGTGTATTATCTAAAGAATGTTTTTATTTTGTTTCCATTTGAAAATATATTTGGGAAATATAAACATGTAAGTCATCATCTCCCACCCTTCCATCCCACACAATGAAAGCTAGAGGTTTTGAAGACAATGCCTTCAAAAAATACAAGAAACTGAAGAAAAAAAGTTTATTCTGGTTAAGACAGAAAAAGTAGGACCTAAGGCTATTTTTCCAGAAGTCATAGTGTAGAGCTGTTATCTGCAGTAAGAGCTGCGTATCCAGTGCTTAGATACAGTCCAGTCAAGGGACACGCATTCATCAGCAAGGGAGTGAGCTGCTTGCTTGGCAGGTGTTACACGTGGCCAGATTAATATGCTGTATAGCCTTATCTTAAAACAGGTATACAATGGAGGAAGGCAAAAATACCTCTCGATGTTTTAAAGAGACTTTTAAACCAGGCTGTTTGGAGCCGACATGAATAAAGGATGCCCTCTAAGTACTTCTTAAGCACCTACCTTCAGAAGCATTTCCTCATGTTGCAGATTCTCCGAATCGTACATCTCTCTGCGCAGCTTTTCAACCTCTGCTATCAGATTTCTGTACCCCACAATCTGCAGCAGGCATGCCTGAAGAGATACTCCCAACCTGAGGGGGGGGGGGGGAGAAGGAGCAACATAATCCAACTCAATCATATGTAGCCATGAAACAGCACTACTGCATACATACCTGTAATTCACATGAGTAAATTACAATGGGAGGATTTCCAAGAGATCAATATTACATTAAACAAGGCCTCGTGAAATGCAGTCTTATTTAGTGCCTGCCTTAGATGATAAAATTTGGGATTTTTCAAAACTTTGAACGGTGAATTTTCACACGGAAATCCCATTATAACTATACACAGCAGCGTTAAATGCCTGCAATAAGCACATCACTGAATCCTTCCCCTCACTCAAACAGCAGCTTCTCAAGCAATACCCTGAGACCAGAGATGTGAACTATAAATGGGGTGAGGGGGAGAGAAAGCTCAGCAAAAAGCTAAAAATATTCATTTTGCTTCTGTGCCACAAAAGCTAGCATAAAGACGACAAAAACCTAAAGTAACATAGTTGAATGATCTGCCTCTGGTCAGCTTTTTTGGGGGTCTCATGTTAAGAATCACCATAATGGCTCTGTTTTCATTATAATACAGATTTTACATTTCCTGATGCATCATCATTAAAAAACCAACCAACCAACCAAACCACCACAAAAAAACCACCACACCAAAAACCGAACCCCTAAAACCAAACCAAAAACCAACCCCCCAAATCCCAAACAAGTGGCTTCCAAGGCTTTAAATTACAATGCCTTATTCAGTTTTAGGATAAGATTTTATAGTATTAAATACAATTAATGCAGTACACAAATGCCACGCTCATAAGAATATTTAATTAAATATGGAAATAAACCCTTTAATTTTTAATAATGTCTGAGATTATCTGAAGTCCTAGTACAAATTTGGAGGGCACGGTTAAATCTATACCCTCATTCCTCCCCAGGAACGCAGGCTACACTGATATTAAGCTGCACAGGTTCCTCATCTGTCCTGTTTGATATGCTGAAACATTTTGTTTATTCCATAATACCGTTAAATTTTCTGAGCAGAAGGATTTTCACTGCTTATCTTTTGAGGTTAATCTACAGAATCAGAGATGTCATCATTAGGCCATTTCTCTTGCTGCAGTTTCATGCTATTTGTGGCCATAATCCTTTCAGAGTAACCTATGCAGTATTTTCCTTCCTTTGTGGTTTGTTTTTTGGTGGGTGGGGTTTTAGGTTTGTTTTTTTTGTTAGTTTGGTTGGGTTTTGGGGTTTTTTTTGTTTGGTTGGTTTTTTTTAAAACATGCTTTACTTGCTGTATCCTACAGTTTTACAGAAAGGCTGCATTTCAAAGAAAGCTGAAAAGCCTATCAAGACTGCACGTGAATTGCTATAGTGCATCACTAAACCACAGCCACAATGTTTTTAACTAGTCTATAACCTCAGAGTAATTTAGAGCAGAACACTATAGGCAGTGGCAGACTAATTTTATATTAAAAAAAAAAAAATTTTTAAGTTCCAGGCTGCACAACATACACAAAGCAAGCCACATCTGAACTTTATCTAAAGGCAGTCAAATGCTCCACGCAATGTTATTCGGGGGGTGAGGGGGGTGGGGAATACAGAATTATTTTCCCCACTCTCCTTGTCATTAAGCTTTTGCTCTCCTGCTTGCCAAACAGATGATGTGGGTGAGCTGCTGATGCCCCACACCTCCTCCTGGCCATCCCTGTGCTGGTGGTAGCAGTTCTCAGAGCACATTGAGCAACCTACCTGGGCTTGCACCCCCACTGCGCTCATTTCCAGGTGCTCCACCAGATGGAGGCAAGTCCAAAACTGGGAATATTTCATGGACTGCTTCCATAGTTAGTGCAGACTGCACATGTCACCACCTGGTTATTCAACCTACTTGCTCCCACCACTAAATATACACGTTTATCTCAGAGACATTGATAAAGGGAAATTATTGTGGGTTGCCTCCTCCTCTTCAGGTCACAGTAGCCTACAGCCTTCAAGAACAGCTCGGCACAGACACACCTGGGATGCTAGTTCAGCTCTGCAAAGATGCTACATTAACAAAAATGACTGCATACAGATTTGCAGAAACACATATAGTATGACACATGTCCCCTTGTCCTTACCCCAGGAGATTTCAAGTCTCTACTGTGCAAGGGAAGGACAGAGCTTCTGAACAAGACAGTTTGGGTACAGGTTTTTTATGTTTAAGAGTAGGCAGGCCAATTGATTTTCCTTAATCCTGACTAAAGAAATAGCTGACCTGTTTTTGCTGAAATTTCTCCAGAAAACTTTAGTATAAAATAAGTGCCTCACATGTAAAACTTCAGTGCAGATGCTTAAAGTTTAGTAGAACTATGGTTAGTTTAATATAAGGAGCAATTTAGTGGCAGGGTGTGTTTCTATGGATGTGGCACCACCTTGCACATCCCAGGCCTCCATTCCTCACTGTTTTGAAAAGATACTTCACCAAACTGAGGTGAGCATAACGGGCTATGGGGATGAAAGACTCAGTCCTGTAAAATGTTGAGTGCAAGGGTTCTGGTTGAAAAACAATTAAACATTTGTTCTGTACTAAGCATATGAACACCACCTGCATTAAACAAAAAATAGTTCAAGGTTTTTTTGGTTTGTTTTTGTTTTTTTGGTTTTTTTTGTGTGTGGCTTTTGTTGTTATTGTTTATTTGTTTTTGTTTGGTTGTTGTTTTTTTTTTTAATATTAGGACCAGATCACTCAAAATGTAACTTAAGGTTCAGGGGCCTGATTCAAACAAGCAGAAATCATTTTCACCTCTGCTTGCTCTCTCTTCTGGAAGACGGCATTTCTTCAGAGGCCAAAGGCAATGCGATGAGGAGAATCAGATGGTGATCTCCGGAGTCATACAAAATACTACTGTAATGAATTGCTTGTTTTTTCTTGGAATTATTCCACCCAGTTACCCAAGGGTCCAACACTGAGAAGCGAGTACTTGAATCAGCCCGACTGCTAACGCTGCAGTTACTGATGTCCACAGGCCGGGCTCCGAGCTGTGCACATTTACATCCTGCAGTTTTTCCTCATATGTCACCTTCACTAATTTTGCCATAACTGATTTTTTTTTCTGAATTTCTGCTATCAGCATCCTGTGCAATACAAGAGTACCAGAGCTGTGACATCCTCCTCAGACAAGCAGCCTCTCAGCAAGGCCTCGCATCCACTTGAAGCAGCTGCTCTCTCATCACCCTCCCTTTGAAGGTCCTGTGGGCAAGGTCCTGGGAAGAGACACCCCTGGAAAAGCTCTGGGCCCACTCCCAGAAAAACTTCACAGAGCTCCTCACCTATGAGAATGAGGTATTCTCTTTGTTTTGTTTCTCTTATTTTCTTCCCTTCTTTAATGGTTGGGTCACCATTTTTTCAATCCAGGTGGACGGTGGTCATGTCCACAATAGTTGTCTCTCAAGTTAGAGAGATACCCAGTATACTCTATGTCCTTTATGAGCAGTGAAGACTCATTTTAAGACTGCCTAGTTACTGTCCTTTTCACTGGGGGGTAGGGCTGGGGGGTCAGTCCCATAATGAGACAAAAAAAATTATATTTTTCCAACTGAAGTTTTGGGTTTTGTTGTTGCAGCAAGGCCTTAGGACCACCTTACCTGTTGATGCTGCTGACCACTTAAAGAAAAGCAGCTATCAATTTGTAGATGCCCATTATGGATTATGTACATCATTTTCAAGTCTGGGAAGAGGAGCAAACCTTGGACTGATCTGTGGGTTGTACCTGAACACAGCCCTCAACATTTCTCCCACTGATTCCTGATCTAGACCATCTTGTGCCTTAAGCTAGGGTCTTAAGCTAGGTAAGGCAACCACAAAAGCATTACCACTTACTCTTGAAATACATACTTGTAAATTTAATGGTTTGTTGGAAATCTCTTCTTACCACCAAGACCTTGTAGCATTAAAAGAATATCAGCTATGCTGTATTGTTAGAACTTGTGTTCGGATAATCAAGGGCAGTTTTAAAACATAAACCAGTATACCATTTATATCAGTTACAACAGGATGATTTCTTCCCTACTCAAAAGGGCCACACAGCCTCGCTAAGAAGCCATCACTGTCACTGACAGGACCACTTGCCTTGGTGGTATTTTAACCCTGGGGAAGTGGGCCCCATAAATCAATGCATCAACAATATACTAAGACAGCATGATTCAGGAAGCAGCTAGAGAAAGAGACTCAGGACTTGCCTATCACAGTCACCATAAAAGATCATTCATTTTTCCATCAGCTTTTTGACAGCAAAGCTTAAGTTGAAGTTTTATGCTGAGAGACAGAATTCATCCTCAAATTGTGTGCCACAATAGCTATGGAGAACCAGTTCTCCATGGACCTAAGCACTGAAGAAATCAATAACTCCCATTTGTTTTGTAAGGAAACCATGAACTTACTGTGGATTTATATCTGGATTAATCCTTTTCAGCTCCATGATGTCATCTATAGTTTTTTCAATAGCATCAGGGTGAACACTTACTGAAGTTTGCAGCCGCTAAAAAGAGGTTTTAAGCACATAAGAATTAATATGTAAGCTATTATTCAATAGAAGTTAACAATGGTAAATTTGATACCCAAAACCTTCTAGATTAAGAGCCTAGAAGACCCAATTCAATATATATACACACCTTTCCAGTCTATTCAGCACGACTGACTAGTTTTAGAGTGCTAGCCCTACAAGAACTTGAGTTGCTTTGTCATGCCCGTGTAGTTAGTCTATCACATTTCTGTGGCAGCAGCTAGTGAAGGTGATCTGCACTGAGGCCTTCGATCGAGAAGCAGCTTCAGAGCATCCACTTAATTACACTGGAATCGCTAGCCTTCATTTGACATCCCCTCTCCCAACACATTGCAATAACACAGCAAAACATTCTTGCTTTCTCTTGCATGTCATTGCACTTTGTAGAAATGCTCCTGGAAGTTCAGTATTCAGGAATCAACACGCCTTCCAAAAATTAAAAGAGGTTGAACTGTCTGGTGCTTTGTCTCAAAACTACACTGTTGCTTAAATGCAAGTTTTTAAATAAGTTTCTGCCTTTCTGTTTGTGCTAGAAGTACATTTGGAAGCACTATGCTGAACTATGAGCTGTGTGGCATCGTTTTTGCTAATGCTGAGGTAAGCTTTTCACCATCACTGATTCTTATGCCAAAGAGAAACGAACGGCTGAACGATGCCGTTTAATGTATACACACATGCTTTGTGAGAAGAATTTAGGTTAGCACCACCAGTGCTACAGTGAAAGGATGAAGTGACAGAGGCTGTTCTCCATTAATGTATTTAAAAGGAAAGCAGAGAACAAAGTTGTCTTGGCTATCTAGGTACTGCTGTCTTCAGCCTCTTTTATGGCTCCTTTCCAGACAAAAAACCTGAGGTGTAAAGTGTGTGACTGACTGCAGAATACAGAAATTCTAAGACAAGATGAGGAAACAAGCCAAGAAACCCCGAATTACAACACGTCACCCTTGTCATCTCCCTCCACCATGGCCTGTTGCCCCTTGATTCCATCAGTTTCACAGTGTGTTTGTCCCTGAAGCACAGGACACTGTCCCCAACTTTGCAAGATCACCTGCTATTGCAGACACTAAACCCTCTTCAGCAGAAGATGGTGTTAATGTAAAATCATATCAAACCTTAAAGCAATTTTTTGGGGGGAGCAAACAGCAGACTGAACAAATCAACTGCACAGGGCACAACAGAAAAGGTGAAGGATGAGATCTTTCACTCACCTTACTTTTTGAACCTTTCAGTGATGCCTCTGTAAGAGAACAGTATTTGAAAGCATCATGTCAGACAAACTAAGTTTATATTAGATTCATTTAACAATTTATTTATTTATAAGAATGAAGTCATACTATTTTTAGCTCACGCAGAAAGGTACAAAGGCATGCAGAACTAAGTATTTTGCAGTTACCTATTTTCATAGTTCTGGCAGCTCCAGGTTTGGTATTGTAACAGATCCTTTGCAATTCACATTGACCTGTTAGTTTCCTGACCACAAATTTCAGGCAGCGCCACAAGCATTTGCAGTAGAAGTACAGGCATACCTGGACAAACATCCTGACAAAAGAAGAGGCCTGAAAGTAAGAGTCTTGAGCAGAGTTTGTTTCAACAAGGTCACCACCCAAACAGAAGGTACTTCCTCACCCCAAATTCCCAGTGCCTAAAGGCAGCTTTAAAGCAAAAGCAGCATTCACACTGCAAATGTTTACCCTGGTAAGTGTTAAATCATGCTTTTTAGTCTTAACCAAAAAAACCAAAACAAACAAACAAAAAAACCCCACCAAAACAACAACAACAAAAAAACCCCCCACCAAAACAAAACAAAAAAAAAAACCAAAACAAAAAACCACCAAAACAAACAAACAAAAAAACCCCAAAACCCCACCAAAACCAAAAAACGCACAAAGCACCAGAACTGGAAGCACAGAATAAGTCCACTCCAGAGTTCTCAAAGGAGTATTTCTAGAAAACTCTTTGTCCCCTTAAAATAAAGGGCCATATAGTTCCTACTAATGCTTTGGGCAAACAGGACTACATGGGAAGTGAGCACAGCTCACCTTGTTATCATGGCTGCTGAGGATCCAGGGAGCCACTACACCCTGGCTTAGCTTTGCCTCTGCATCCAGCTGCTCCGAGTAGAGTGGCTGGTTATCCTGACAAACACGAATCAACACTCATGTCAGGTCACTAAGAGTGAAAAGCTACAATTAAGGAAACCAAAGCTTCCCCCGCTTTAGGGGAGAAGGTGTTTAAGAACCTGTCCTGAGGACTGCCAGCTCTTCCCAAGATCAGTTGTTACACAGCACTGACGCTGTGCAATTTCTCAAAGTACAGAACGGACAGTAAGCCAAGAAAGCCCTTATTTAGGCACTGCATCCAGTTTCAAGCCCCAGCAATACAAAACAGGCTTTGACAAACTGGATGGATTTCAGTAGAAGCTCCCGAGATGGTAAGGCTGGAGCACAGACCCTGCGAGGAGAGGCTGGGAGAGTTGGGATTGTTCAGCCTGGAGCAGAGAACTTCAGGGCAACCTAATAGCAGCCCCCAGTGCCTGTGGCAAGATCATGGAGAAGACAGAGCCGGACTCTTCACAGTGGTGCAGGGCAGGAAGACAAAGGACAACAGTCATAAGCTGAAAAATAAGAGGCTCAACCTAGATATAAGGAGAAGATTTCCCCCCCCATGAGGACACTCAGGTGGTGGCACAGATTGCCCAAAGAGGCTGTGCAACCTCCTTCCTCAGAGTGTTTTAAGCCCTGACTGGAAGAAGCCCTGAGCAGCCCAGTCTGACCTCAGAGCTGACCTGCTGCGAACAGGAGGTTGGACCAGAGACCTGCTGATGCCCCTCCCAGCTTGAACTAGCCTGTAATCCTATCAAAGCCTGAAAAAGTCTGCATATATGAGAAATGCTCTACTTTAAAGTTTGTTAGCATTGCAGCTGCTACCAAAGCCCACATACTGCTACCACAATTGCATAACACACCTCAAAGACAGATTACATGCGCTACAACTTATTTGGACACAATTTAGCTTTCTTGTTTCTGTGGCTATGAAGGTACAGATCCTGCCATGTTACCCAAATGTCAACCCCCACAGGGTGCACCAGGACTTGAGGTGGGGTAGGATCCACCAAGGGTCCCTGGGTTCAGAAGAAGCACCTCTCAGAAAAGGCTACACTGCAAAGACCTGACAATGGGAACATTGCCATCTGGACACAGTCCTGGTTAACTGGCTCTAGGTGGCCTTGCTAGAGCAGGGGTGGGGACTAGATGACCTTCAGAGGTCCTCTCCAACCTCAACCTCATATAATTACATGCTATGATTACATTATAGAAAAACATCAATACAGCTTTGATATGCTAGCTTGCCACTAAATGGTCAAAAATAATTTGGTCCATTATGTTCTAAGCCTGTATGTATGCATATTCATCATTAGCCCATTATTTCCTCCACATGCTGTTGAGGCTTTCAAAGGACAGTTATTTGTTAGGAGACTCTGTATTATTCTTTTCAATGGAGTTTGGTGGTTATTCTGAAATACTGAATTCCAGATACTCAAATCTGTTATAGCTTTAATAAAGTTTGAAGAGCTCAATCATTTCCTAAAAACATCCTGAAGGGCATGGTGTAGAAGGACATTCAGGGAAGGGAAGATAAATTAACTCATGTTAATGTCCACACAGTAGTTTAATCTGCTTTATGTTCACTTTAGCTTAATCCCCTTTGAAGGGGGATTAAGCTAGGGGAACTAAAGCCATTTTATGTCTAAATGGAGAGCATCCACATGAGTATTTAACATGCTTTAAAAGCATCCACTTTATCTTCACACTTTTAGTTAATTCACTTAATGCTCCAAATGCATGCAGGCAACTCCCTTGTCTTTATGCAACAGGAAGCCTCTATTTTAAATACAAAGTGAAACCTAAAGAATGAGGAATCACTCCCACACTGGAATCAAGTTTTAGACAAGCAAAAAAGTTTCAGCTGCTGATGCTGAAATATTTGGGTGTCCTGTCCCACACCATCCACTGTAAGATGTGCCAGAACACGCTACTGTGAGGAGTTCCTACGTGCTTCACAGCAGGTTATCACCTTCAGTATTAAGAACTAGGCCAGTTACCAGGAGGCAAGTCCATCATCAGCCAAGCAGCTATTATTTAAGTTTCCAACAGTCAGAAATGTAAGTCAGTTAAAGAGCCAATCTCATATAAAATCAACTAATGCCTTCAGCTGCAACCTTTAATAGGGGCTTGAAAAAAGCCACAGGCTAACATTGGGCATTTTGGTTTTCCAGTACACATTTGGTATCAACCTTCACAGATTTAACTAGTCCATCATCCCTGAAGAGTCCAAACACAACCTATAGCCATCCCTCAGCCTCCTCAGCACACACCAGCTCTGTAGTAAGGCTGAAGGCCTAGAGAAATTAATACAAGAGTAATGCCAAACTGGAAGGTGGAATGTGGTAAAACAAAGTTCCGGGTTTTCACCATACATTTGTAGCAGAAATTAGGGGTGCTTTCTTTTGGCCTGCTTTGTTTCCAAAGATTAGGTCTCTATTAGAGCAACTCACTACCCAGAGAGCTCATTTATGTGAAAGAAGTGATGAATGACTCACTTAACTTCATGTTAACAACCCATGTAAGACTTCCTTTTAATGAGCAAGATAGCTCCCATAAAAACCACATGTCCTTTAAGAAAGCTCATGCGTATACTTGATTTATTCCAGGGCTGAAACATCACAACCCATTTCATTACTCAAAACCTTGTTTCTTACTATATTGTGTGATGTGGATAAGTTTTGGGGTAGGGGTGGCAGGGAAGGTGTTAGGTGCACTTGAATTATATGTTGCTGCCTTTAAGCTCAGTGACAGATTTGCAAATCAAAGGAAAAACTCTAAATGGGATAGAGCTGTGACCACGACTGCAACCACCTTCCCCACTAAAGTTTTGCTTTGGCTGTGATTTACACAAAGATTAACTAATAAAAATGCATCTACTAAAAACATGTCACTACAGCACGCCAACACTACATCTGTGATTCACTAAAGTATACTTAGCAGCTATTACTAATAAAGCAAACAAACACTAGTTTTGGCTAGGCAGCTTATAGAAAAAAAACTTAGCCTTTGTGGATACCTTCAATTTTCTACTACTCATCCATCTCAAGCTTACAACAGTTGAAATCTTCCATTTGTAACATGAAGGGCATAAAAAGTAACAAGTTTGTTTTCAAAGGGTTGTTCTTTATAAAAGGGAATTCTTGCTTGCAGAAGTCCTGTAATAAAAGCACACTAGTGATTAAGACAAGTTTTATGTTAGCCACTACGCACTTCAGTTCACGTAAGCAAAGTGGAGATGCTGGCAGCTATAAAACAAAACACGGCATATCATGAACAAGAAGCCACATGGAAATATATCATGAGCCACGTATTTGACTACAGCATGGTGGCATTAACCTCTGCTTTGTTTTAGAGTCCAATGCTAAACCTCCTCTCCACTCAATCTCTTCGGTATTTATTTTTTTTTTCCTGCTTGCCTTTGCAGGTTTTGTCAGCACAGAAAATAGCATGCTTCACCAGCAGTTTGCATAGTCATGTACAGCAATACTTCAGATCCCGAGGTGAGCTTTAATAACAGAAGCATTAGAGAAATGAAGGTGTTCCTCAGGGACTTGCAGTCTACTCTTCCACATCCTGATACAAGCTCCCTCTCCTCCTGTATTACATACAGTTGCACAGACCTACAGATTTGTGTTTATACATGTACAGTGTGTTACAAGAGTTCATATGAACATTTATTCAGGTAAAACAAAGAAAAAACTGCATAATAAGATACTGATGCACATAGGCCTAATCAACAGGCAGTTCCCTTGCCAAGGATGCCGTATGAGTGGAAACATGTGCAGCCATCCTCCCATGAGAAGTCAGGGTTACACATTCCTAGTGTTGATACCAATCACTTGGATATCAGAAGCTACCTGTTAGGTTCTGAGCAATACCAACACAACTCAGCATAGTTCTCCCAGCTTGGCTCACAGAAAGTCACTGAACTCCAAGATCAATACTACAGAAAAATGTACTTGTTAGTTGGGTTCCAAGGCAGGGGGGTGGAGGGGTGGTGGTGGAAATCAAAACAACAAAATATTCTGAAACTATTAAGTATTCCCTTGCATATCTGGAAGAGACTTACAGAATACCACCAAGTGCTTAAAGCTACAACCACAATAGCCTGAAGTGCCACAGAAATGCAAAGTTTTCTTTTGTATAATTAGCAAACATCAGTTAAAGGCTCATATATGTACCTATTTCACCTCTCCTTCTTCCTTGCTCTTCTACTTTTAACTCTTTCATATCTTCCCTGCTGTATGTCACTGCTTCCAAGCTCTAATTTTCTGCTAAGAACAGCTTTAACCAAAAAAAGAATTAGGCAGTCAGTACCTTGCAAGAACTATCAGGAATACTGCAAAACCAAGCAAGCAACCGATCTCTATCGGCAATAATGGGGCTCACTAGGGGTTCTGGAGAGCTTTCTTCCATGAGGGAGGGGATGAAGAAAGGGGGTTCTACAGTTGCTAGGATCCTTGCAAAACAGAGAAATTTAGAGCCAAAAAGAGCACAAAGTAAGAGTACTGCTGCTGCAGTCACAACACTTCTATTCCCCACAACACATGCTGCTCTGCCTGGGGTAAGAAAGCATACAACAGCAAGAAGCAGAAAGAACCGAGCATGTTGCTTCACACCATGACATTGCAAAGGGAAGGACAGAATTGGTTCTCAACAAGCAGTCACAAGGTTTGCCCTCAACTAGCCCAACTGATGTCGGGTCAGTGTGATGGGAATGGCACACATGAGCATCATTAGAATTTACATATCTCTCCAACGACAGTATGACATCACATTTTCATGAAATCTGGCTCCTTATTTAAAGGTGACTGGGTCTAGACAGCCTTCTTCCTGATAAGGAGACAGAAGCAAAATTGAGCAAAGTTTTCCAAAGTTGTCTAATATTTCTGTGAAGCTCTTTCCTGTGTGAGGTATGTTCGCCTAAGTAGCAAGGTGTATGTATAATGCAATGTGGTATTTCACTGACTTGAAGGGAAGTAGAAATTAATTATTGTGCAACATTTTTGAAACTAAAAATTGATGGTGCT